CTGACAATCTCTTTCTAACTGGCATGCTGAGACCATTTGTATTTAATGTCATAATTGATACATTTAAAGTTAGACCGCCCATTGTATTATTTGTTTTGTTTGTTCTATCTGCTTTTCTTCTTCTAATAGAGGGGAAAAGCAATATGGATTCTCCTCATGCCCTTGGGACCAGTTCCTCTGGTTGCAGAGAACAGTTTCCCTTCTTCAGAATACTAGGCACCTGCACGGCCACTTCCTCCATTACTGTTGCGGCTACTGCTGAGGCAGGATTGCCTGGGGCTGCAGCAGGAAGAAAATGTGAAAGAAAAAGGGGTTCCTCCCACCTCTTCAGCCTTTAAGAGGCCCTTTTCTGCTCCCCAGACTAAAGAAGGCTTTTCTTTGACCTCTTTCTGTCTGCTCTCAGTGTGCTCTTCAGAGTTTCAGGCTGGCTTTGTGTCCAGGCTGGGGTATAACAGGGGAGGAGGGAGGGACAGAAAATCCACTGCCAGTTTGCTCTTACTTCAAGTTCTGGTTTCCTTTTAGATTCTGCCTGCTACCATTTACTTTTCAGAATCCTCGGATAGCTGCTCCTTGCATTCTATCCAGAGTCTTTGGTTGCATTTAGTGGGAGAGTTACAGTGGACTGTACTCACTCTACCTGAACCAGAACCAGAATCTCCAATGTTACATTTTGATGTTTGTTTTTCCTGACTTTTTCCAATGCATATATGCAAATTTAGAAATATACTTTTAAAAAGTAATGTTAGAAATGTGTTAACTGTTTTGTTACCTACTGTTTAAAATGAATACCTTGGAAAAGCTTTTGAATTCAGTAAGTATAGACGTACATCATCATTTTTACGACTGCATAGCATTCCATTGCACAGGTTACACTAATTCATTTAATTGATATTCTCTAATTGCACTTTTACATTTCTTCTGGGTTTTTTCCCATTATAAACAACATTTTAATGAATATTGCTTGCATACCCTTTATCCACTAGTTCAATATTTTCATTAGGATACGTTCCTAAAAGTGGAATTGCTTGGATATAAACATTTTGAACTTTGATACGTACTGCCCAGCTACCCTCCAGAAAGGCTGCACCAATGTCCCTTCTCACCAACTGTGTGAGACAGAGGAAGTTTTCTCCTATCTCTACCGACACTGGATGTCATTATCTTTTCTCATCTTTGCCAATGGTATCTTATGTTTCAATATTTATTTCTATGATTATCAATAGCCTGAAGTTATTTATAGTACATTATAATTTCAATACATTGCTGAATTCAATGAGTTGATATTTATTATAAAATTTTACACCTATATAGGTAAGCCTGATTTATTTTTTTATTTTGGTGAAATATACATAATTAAAATCTACCATTTTAACCATTTTTAAGTGTGCAATTCAGTGGCATTAAGTACATTCACAATGTTGTGCAACCATCACCGCTATCCATTTTCAGAACTTTTCCATCCTAAAGCAAAAACTCTGTACACATTAAACAATAACTCCCCAGTCCTCCCTCCCTCAGCCCCTGGCAACTTCTACTATACTTGCTGTGTCTCTCTCTGTGAATTTGCCTATTCTAGGTATCTCGTATAAGTGGACTTATATAATATTTGTCCTTTTATGTCTGATCTGTTTCACTTAGCATGATGTTTTCAAGGTTCATGCACAGTGTAGCATGTACCAGAATTTCCCTCCTTTTTAAAGGCTGAATAACTTACTATTATATGTATGCACCATATTTTCTTTATCCACTTATTATTGTTCTGCTGATGGACTCTTGGATTGTTGCCACCTTTTTGATATTTTGAATAATACTGCTACGAACATTGGAGTGAAAGTATTTGTTTGAGTCCCTATTTTCAATTCTTTTGGATATTTACCTAAAAATGGAATTGCTAGATCATATAGTAATTCTATGTTTAATTTTG